GGTGGATTGGGGCTGCGGCGCAATGCGGCATGATGCCCAAAGCGTTTTTTTTTTTTTTTTTTCATGCATTTTGTATTTCTCTTTGCTAATTGGGCTTATTGGAACCTAATAAGAATAAAAAATCGAATTATCATCTTTTGATACGATGTACTTTTAGAAAAAAATTAGGTCCATATATGTGGACTCATGGTCCAAATTTACATATAACACTTTTTCCTGACTATTTTAATGCATATTTAACATAGAATTATTATTATTTATTTTTTTGAACTTGGTTTGACTTTCAGAGAGTAAAAAACGTTTTTTGAACAGCATTTTGGACAGTTAAAAATTGGGTTTAAGACATTTCATATGCTGCAAAACAGTTGCAGGATGACACTGTTTGTCTGTAACAAAATATAAAACATTCAAAGTATTTTAAATAGCCACTTAAGAGCTAAAATGTGCTGTCCAGCTTTTCAATGTAAAAAATTGTTGGAAGAAAGATCAAGATCCCACAATGCATTTTAAAAGCATAAATACATTTTTGGGTGTATATCACAATATACGGACACAAAAAAAAAGAATCAATAAAACAAATTAAAACCTTTGAAAATATACTGTATGCAGTTAAAAAAGCAAGCTTAAATAAACCATTTAATATTAGGCCACCTAAACTTGTTCAAATGCACAGACATCTTCAAAAACAAATACAATTTATGTACTTCATTTACAGCTCCTTGATATAACCGATTGAAGTCTCAAGTTATTAAAGATGCAACAGCTCATTCATACTGTATATATTTTCAAAGCAGAGTACAAAATCAAATGGCTGTCTGAATGTGCATTAAATCATAAAGTGATTGAGAAATGTAGGCATTGGTGTAATGTAAGTTGAGCTTATGAAACCATGTAAAATTAATTTTGTTGTGTGTGATGGCGAACTGCAGCATGCATCCGGGACAAGCTTTGATGTCTGAAGTGAATGAGAGCTAAATAAAACTGGCTGAAGCTGTGACTGTTTTTTGTCTCCACTTTTCCTTTTCTGCAGCTTTATTTCACATTTGTACCAATTTTCAAAACTCTTTCATCACCTTTAAAAAAACAGGACGTTTGATTTTAGCAAGGCAGACAGCAGCATGTTTTACATGCAGACATTGTAGCTGAAATTCAGAACCATGGACAGCCCATACTTGCATGATGCTACAATCACAGACAGCAGCACGGCCATTGTTGATTTTCATCACCATGGACAGCTGCATGTTTGCATGCAAACACTAAAGCTAAATATTTAGCATCATATAATAAAAGCAGTGTTTCGCATTACAAATATATTAGATGGCAACCCCATCACCCCACAGCAGAACCCAATTGTCTTTTTTCATATTTTTAAGAAGGTTGTACACATGTAGGGTATGCATTAACGGTTGTCCTTGCTTCATTATATTAAAGGTTTAGTAAAGGAGAGTTATTTTTGACGCATATGATGTATACCAATGATCACCAAACTTGTTCCAGGAGGGCCGGTGTCCTGCAGATTTTAGCTCCAACCCTAATCAAACACACCTGGACAAGCTAATCTTACTAGGTATACTTGAAACACCCAGGCAGGTGGGTTAAGGCAAGTTGGAGCTAAACCCTGCAGGGCACCGGAACTCCAGGAACGAGACTGGTAACCCCTGGTGCATAAAGACCTTTAGGACAACAAAGGGGTTGGTAAAAGCTCTGTACATTGCTATTTTATTAAACACACAAAATAGCTTTAAGTTATTTCATTTACATGATGGCATGTATATTCTGTCTTTACATTGCACTTTTTATTTATCTGCTCTCTCTACATCACACACAGTGGAATCCACCAGTAGTGTGCACCAGAGAATATGCTAGGTCAGTCAAATGAAAAACAGAAAAAAAAATATTTGCAGAGCCTGGTGAAAGTATAAATGCAGCTTTAAGACACAGTGCTTAACCTGTCAGTGTGTTTGAACTAGGGATGCCACGATTCTCAATATAATATTGAACCCTTCGGTACGACATCCACTGTTCAATACGCGTTTGTGCGGTTTTCTCGGTTTTGCATTTAAATAATTTATGTGCGTTTTATATCTTCGAATTGACTGTGTGTGCCTCTACATCTATGAGCTGAGATGAGGAAACTTCTCCCCGCGAGTAAATATCAAATCATTATGCTCTAAAGATAGGGGGCACTTAACCATCATTCCACACTTTAACATGGCAAGCGGCGATGAAGTGAGGCTGAGGCAACAGTACAAGGAAGCGCCGGCAAAGTGAGGCAACAATACAAGGAAGCGCCGCCGTCAAATATGCGGTTTGAGGACATTTCGGTTTAGCCAGTAAGCATAATGCCAATAAGAGAAAAGGCGGTTTTAGTTTTAAACGTATAACCATGACTGCACATCTGCAGCGCCATCATCCAGCACTGTCTGAAAGCAGGATAGCAGAGAAGGTAATAAAGTTCTCCAAATAGCAACAATCCCTTGCTGAATCCTTCCAGGAAACATACCCAACAGGTTCCGACAGACACAAAAAAAATAATAAAGGCAGTGAGGGTGTTTATTGCTAAAGATCTGCAGCCGCTTTTGGTGATTTGAGATATGGGCTTTTGTCATAAAGCTGTCGATCCTACAGTCTTGCATTTTTTTCAGCACCGAGATAATTAAGATGGTTTATTTATGTTTACTTAAGTTCAAATATGTTTATTTGAAATGGCCAATTCATCTTTATTAATCTCACATGTATGTTTATTTTCAAAATGTAGAAATGTATTTGTTCCCCAGTTTGTACATGGGCTTTCAGCAGCTGTGAGATTTCAGTGTTATTTATATATATATATATATATATATATATATATATATATATATATATATATATATATATATATATATATATACACACAATACACTAGTGCACTTTTCTTGGCTTTTAAGTAAAACAAAATGAGTATTGCAATAAATCGTTTTTATTTTTTCTCCATAATCTCTTACTGTTCCTATTGCCTATAGAATTATTAAAAAAAAAACGTGTCAAGCCATAAGAACCAAACTGAACCAAAAACCGTGTTAAAAAACCGAGGTATGTATTGAACCATAGGCTAACTGTATTGTTGCATCCCTAGTTTGAACTAACCTTGTGCATTGTATCAATCACTAAAGGTCTAACAAATGCAACAGATGCAAATAATTTATTGGATATGATAAAACATATACAAATATATACTGTATGCTCAGATTATTATTTATTTTAGGCTACTTGCAACATCAAACTTGTCGCCCATCTGATTTACCCTCCAAAAGCATTTTTATTTATCTTTGCTATCTGGGCTTATTGGAACCTAATTAGAATAAAACCTAAGTTTCATCTTTTGATATTATGTACTTTTAGAGAAAAACGATGTCCACATATGTGGACTTGTGGTCCAAATTTGCATAAAACACTTTTTCCTGCTTTTAATACAAATATAACAGAGATTTTTTTTTTTTAACTTGCTTTGACTTTTAGAGAGTAAAAACTTTTTTTTTTTCCCATTTAGCCACTTATGAGCTAAAATGTGCTGTCCACGTATGAGGCCACTCAAGCCATAGGAGGTTAACGGAAGGATACATGACATAAAGCAGCACAGTTTTACATATCTAGAAGTTTGGTAAGTTTTGGATAGTATACAAGACTATTACACAAAAGTCGAATGCATATAAATATAATGTATTGCTCTAATTATCCCAATAATCTGTTTTTAGACTTCAATATGCTTGGGTATTTAATGAAAGCTCTGTAATTCTATGCTGGGCAGGACATGCCATTCAGTAAGACTACAAAGCTTTAATTGATTGATCAAATAAAGTACATAATTTTTGATAAATATATAGCATTATTCTTCTAATTCTATTGTTAAAGATATATTGTTAAATATAATTGTTTATTTTGCCAGAGATGGGTTGCGGCTGGTAGGGCATCCACTGCGAAAAAAAACATGCTGGATAAGTTGGCGGTTCATTCCGCTGTGGCAACCCTGGATTATTAAAGGGACTAAGCCAAAAAGAAAATGAATGAATGAATGAATAGTTGCTTATTTTGATCATACACAATCTTAAACGACTTTAAAGGGTTAAGATGTAAACACTTGTTAAGTGTTTGTTAAATGTGCTTGTCTTTGCTTCACACATCTTCATTTGTTAATTAAAAAAGATCCATGGTTTTTGAGGTAAATAAAACGTAATGAATTAATAAATGTAAATTTGTGTATTTTGCACTGCAAAAGGATTGTGTCACTTTATTATTATTATTATTATTATTATCATTATTGTAGGCTTCAGAGAAGTTTGAGTTTGTCTAGATAAAAAGTCAGTAATGCAATTTTCTAAAAAGTACAGATTGTAATGGAACATTTTAATTAGTGAAAAGGTAGTAAAATATAAAGCCATCATAGACATCCAAAAGCTGTAATTATCTTTTTTTTCACTGACTGTTTTTTGATTTGATTTATTTCTTGTTGTGGAAATAATCTGCATAATTATAAGTATTTGCCTTTAAAGTAAAACTGTCCCAACTAAAAACTTTAATTAATTTATTATATTGAAGGAAAACAAAAACTAAGAATTTTTATTTTATTTTTTATAATTTATGAATTTCTCCAAAGCCACTCTGAAAAAAAAAAAACTTTAATGTTTAAACTGTCAAGTGAAGGAATTCAATACTTTCTCTCCACTTGTCGAATTTAGCATTATTTATACTCTACGGTCACTGTCTGAATGATCTAAATCAGGGGTGTCTAAACTTGGTCCAGATTTTATCTCCAACTTGCTTCAACACACCTCCAAAGATGTTTCTAGAAAGCCTGGTAAGAGCTTGATTAGCTAGCCCAGGTGTGTCTGATTGGGGTTAGAACTAAACTTTGCAGGACACCGACCCTCCAGGACCGAGTCTGGACATCCCCGATCGAAAAACAATTTTTGATGAAAGTATACACTGCTAATGAAAGTTGCAGGTTCTGAGTCAGAACTTACCAACTCTGGGGTCTTTTGGAAAAGACGGGTTCCCACCTGGGTTCAGTGTCACCCCAAAGGTCTTATACCCAAATGAGCCATCACAAGGATCCACATAAAGAAGACAGCCAGCAAACCCCAGCTCTACCAACAGAGACAGCTGAAGAGAGAAAAAAAAAGCAAACTCTAATTACAAAATAAACCACATAGGCACATTTTATTTTTAAAGCTGTAATTAAGCATCAGTAAAATTGTGAAATATTATTGCAAAAACAATATTATAAATAAGTAAGGTCACACTTTGGTCTGTTGAATTTAAGTTACATTGCATCTACATAAGGCATGGGACGATAACCGTTTTCATGGTATACTTTGGTTTGGAAAAGTCAAGGTTTTAAATCCAACACAATTTTCTGTAATACCGTTCCTAAGGTATGTGTAAGATTTTTTTATTTACATTTTTGGGGGGTTTTAGGACAACAGTATCCAAAAACTAAAATATGTTGTTTTCAAAGGGGGACAAATATTGTTGTGTTTTATCCAGACATTAAAAAATAATATATTTTACAGCAGAAATCACAATACCATGACACCGTTATATTTTTATCCAAGGTTATCATAACGTCAGAATCTTATACCGGCCCATGCCTAATCTACATGCCAAAAGATTTTCAGTATATTATAAATAGACTGTCAGGTTGGGGTTAGGGTTAGTGTAAGTTGACATGTACTTGCAAAGTCATCAAAAATAAATTATTTATCAAAATAAAGTGTTACCTTAAGTATTTTAATTTTAAAATGTTAAATACTTCTTTTACATGAAATGTAAGGCTGAAGATTTTTAGAAGTAAAACATTCGACATATGCAGCTGAAGTCAGAATTATTAGCCCCCCTTTATATATATATATATATATATATATATATATATATATATATATATATATATATATATATATATATATATATATATATATATTTACATATTTTCAAATTATGTTTAACAGAGCAAGGGAATTTTTACAGTATGTCTGATAAAATGTTTTCTTCTGGAGAAAGTTGTATTTGTTTTATTTCGGCTAGAATGAAAGCAGTTTTCAATTTTTTTAAAATTATTATTTTTATAAAAATTATTAGCCTCTTTAAGCTATATTTTTTCGGATTGTCTTCAAAAACTTGCCCATAACTTGCCTAGTTAACCTAATTAACCTAGTTAAGCCTTTACAGTATTCACACAGGTGTAAAAGAGGAAAATAATACAGGCTATTGCAATGTAATACTTGCATGTTATTGGTTATGCTCTACCAATTAGTGTGAGGATTGCTGCGAGGCGAATCAGTGAAACTCTTGTCTTTTTGTGGAGGACGGTCGGATTACAAAGGTGTCCATTTTTGGTCAGCTATGGGCAGTGATCCTCAACCTTTTATCACCACGGACTGGTCAACGCTTGACAATAGACCTTTTTCACAGCGGAATTGAACACCGGAAGCGCCCTTCGAAGCAGTGTATCGATATTTCCGGGTTCGCTAGGAGTCGCAGAGACATGACAGCCTCGGGACAGCGGATGACTTTCTCACGGTCAACTTTGCCATAATTTGGACAGGAAGATGTTGTTCGGTGAATGTGTAAAACTGCCTTAATAAAACAGCATTTAAAAGATGATACCGATTTGCAGAGTTTGTGCAGAAAACGTGTCTTACACAGCGTTTGCAACGTCAGGTTCCAGTAAAGTGCACAGCCAACAGCATAAAATCTGCTCATTCAAGCCATTCGTAAACTAAATTAACCTGGCTATTTAACATCCAGCAGGATGAGTTTTATGTCAGTAGTCCCGTCTGTAAACTGTGCTAACCCCTTCCTTCCTTTTTATTCAGAGTCAGATATAGTGAATGGCGAGTTGCTATCGGTTAATACATTACAGGTTGTTTAATGCTCGTGAGGTTTTCTCAAGTCTGGAAACACGTTAGCTCTTACTCGTGGAAAATATTCATTTTTATTATTTATTTAAAGAACAGCAAATAACATTTTACAATACAAAAATGTACATACCAGGGGGTAATTATAAATAAAATACAAATATACAAAATGTAATAAAACATATGTTATAATAAAATACATGGTAGAGTTCACACATTTTAAAGTGGGTCGAGTTGATACTGGTATTATACAAGCATATTTCAGTCATCAATACCTTAAAATCTGGTTTCATATTAGTAAATTTACATTTTGAATGTACAATTTTGTTAACAACATAAGCAAATTAAATAAATAAAACTATTTTCCTCTAGATTAGGATAATCAAGTAAAGCCCAAATGTACATATATCCATAATGAAAGAGGTTTTGAACACAAAAGAATCGTTAATACATTTTGCAGCTCACCCCATAAGCTGACTATGTACAATGCCAAAATAAGTGTAAAACTGTCTCCTCATATTCGTTACAAAAATACAATTTACATAAATCCCACTTTTAAATTTTTGCAAACAATGTTTTGCTGGATAAAACCTGTGGATGAGTTTATAGGACATTTCTTTAATTCTATTTCTAACATGATATTTCTGTGGTAACAGCCACACTTTTCTTCAATTCACACTTTAATAAAGACATATAATAAAATTGAATATAAGGTACAGTAATGATTTATTTTTGGAAAAGAGTATGAATAGCTCTATCATTACTCTTGGTATTTAGTAAAACAAAATTTGCCGACATAAGATTTAGTAATATCAAAAGACGATGCATCAGAAGGATGGTCTTATTAATACCTCTAAATAACATGAATGAATAACATCTCTGCATTGAACCAATAACAGTTGAAAACTTGCTGGGTTATTGAGATTTTGTAATAAAGGAGTTCATTGTAAGAAAAGTTTACCATCTTTATTATATAACTCACTAAACAAATAATTTTGCTGTCAAACCAATTAAAAAAAAGAGATTTGCATTTGTATGAACTGTCTATTCCAAAATAACAACAATGTAGGGATAAATCATGCTTATAGATTAATGACCATGATGAGCACTTGTTTGTGGAAGGCAGATAGCTTAACTGGAGTTTTGTCTATATTATAATTACTCATCAAAATAAACCATAGACCATCAGTTTTTAATGAAACATACTAATCTCCGCTTGAAGTGCATACAGCATAAGAATGTACTCCCGCATATAACTTGAAACGGCATTCAACCCCCTTTTAATATTGTCATCCATGATTTTCCCTGTTGTTCGTCTTTCGGGAGATCGTGGTCATTAAAGTAAGAGTGTCGTTTTTGAGTTGGAGCAGCTGGGAACGCAGCAATCACAGCGATGAGATGACCCTGCCATTCTTTCTTGCTACGTCGCATTGAAACCGGATGTTGTGGTACACTGCTTCGCTTACCGGAACCAGGAAGTGTGAAAAAGGCCTATTTTACCGCATGATGTTTCAGTGTCTGGTAGGTGGTTGCTAGGCGACCATCAACCGTTTTCTCAGAGGATGACAAGCTGACAAAATATTGCTGTCACTCTGATACAAGTTTAATTTATGGAGAAAATGGCAAAGCACTGCTTTGTTTGAGTGTTCTGTGATTGTCTGAGAAAATTTGTCTTACCGATATGTGAATATTCCATACAAGCTGAAGCGAGTCTCGTCACGTGACTCGCGGTGCTCGCGGGATTCACTGGCATTAACGCGTTATGCCACAACGAACTTGTGCAAACTTTAGAAATACGCGATATGCGAACGGCCCCAAAAGGCCGTCATTGCGAACTCCATCAGTTGATCTTCTTGCACAGACATGGTACATTCACCTGATTTTTTGACAAATGGGTAGAGAATCTATTCTTTAGCAGTTCATAGGTGGTTCACTGGGCCTCCTTAGCAAAGAAACTTTCCAAAGACGTCTGTTTCCTACGCATTTTGCTGCTAGTTAGCAAGGGAATAGTCTTTTTTCAAAATAAAAGACTTTCCAAAATAAAAGATCGTTCATACTCAAATAATAAAGAAAAAGGAAATAATTCATTATTTCTTGTGCAGCTTGGTACCAATTGATCCAGAGACCGGTACCGGTCTGCGGCCCGGGGTTGAGGATCACTGAGCTAATTTATAGGATAAAATGAACTACTAAGGCAACATAATCATTCTACTCTGATCCACTCAAGGTCCACTGCTAAGATTTTTTTTTTTTAATATGACAAGGTCGCCCACAAAGCTCGCTGAGGCCCCCTTGTGGGCAGGGACACCCCTGCTGGGAACCGCTGTGCTAGCTTGTCTCTTCCAAAAGAAATCTTAATTTCTTTATGTCCAAAATCAAAAAAAAAAGTAAAGTAAAAGCAGAATGACCGCGATGTGCAGACGTCTTGGCGCTATATATATATATATATATATATATATATACAGCTGTGACAGTTTAGTAAAAGATATAAACTTATAATTATAATCAGTTAAGATAATCAGTTTATATATATATATATATATATATATATATATATATATATATAGTTTAAATGATTAACTAGTTCATTTTAAAAGTGACATATTATTGTTTGCTTTTTATATTTTACAACAAAGTGTTTTAAACCAAGTATGATTATACTAAGATCGTGAATTAGTTTATTACACTTAATCCAACAATTAGATGGTCTGTTTTCTTTGTTTATGTGGACACATGAATAAAGTCAGAAGTGTATTTAACCAATTATTTTTATTTACATAATTTGAGTTCAGAAACTGCAGAGATGTTAAAATGATCGTTACGATATAATAATAATAATGACTGAAATGGGAAACCATATTTGTGAAATTCAATAGGTGGCGATAATGCTAAAGGTTTAGTTACCATATATGGTTTGCCTAAATCGTGTGTTCTAGATTGTGTGAGCCTACAACGTGTAGGTTCCCCACGTGGGGTTCTGCGGGCCTGCAGCTGGATATTATTGGCTTGATGACGCAAACGTACTGGGGTTCAGGGAAAAAGACTGTGGCTCTTTCTGTTATTAAAGAACCAGAGCTGATCTTAAATGGAATTAGTCTATTTGACAAAAAAAAAAAAAATAATAATAAATATATACGACAAATTTTTCAAAATAAAAAGTATAATGTTCCTAAGGAAAAATTTTACTGGGCATCCTTCAATGACATAATAGACTGGCAAAAAGCCTGGCTATAACATAATAACATA